GTTCTTTTGTATCGATTGAGGAATTAAAAGAGCGTATCAATATATATTCTTCGAATGTTAACGCAAATCAACTAAAACATGTAATAAATGTAAAAAATGCATTAGAAAATGTTTAGAGTGCAATGATGAATCATTCGGACACACGTTGCTATAAAGTACGATTTCGACATAAAATGTCAAATATCTCATGAAGTATTGACATTTCGATAACCTTGGGTGGTACTTTTATACAGAGAATAATAAAACAAATCGATTAGTTTGACAAAAAAATTTGGTTGTATTAAAAAATAAAGTGCAATTGCATTTAGAGGGTGCAGCGGTGCACCCATATAAAAAATAAGGTCATAGAAAATTAGAACGTACACTAACATTTGATTTTTTCTTTTATCATTCTTTTCTATTTTTACTTAAAAAAGAGCAGTAACCTGTCTCAGTTTCCAGAATCACCCTGTATATGATAGAAATATATTGTACGTCTGATGGTATTCTCATGTGTATTGCTAAGCTCTTTGATGTATCTACTCATAGTGTGCGCCGTTACAAGATGATTGAGTGTTTTACATATGTTTCTAAACCACAGTGGATGTAAATTGTTAGTGGTAGAACATCAAAAAAATTCGAACACGATCAATTTGCGATAATGAATAGTCAGTTAAAAGAAAGGAGATATCGAACGATTGGTTTTGAACATCCTATGATGTACAGGATCGCCAATAACAGGTGGTGAAACCTTAAAAAAATAAGTTAAAAATGGTGAATAAAATTTGTTCACATAAGTCTCAGTTTTCGAGAAAGTAGAATTCAAATGGCTATCAAAACATTTGTAGGAAAATTGATATCATGTGTCGTGTTAAGAGCAACACCCTGTATATAAGATCTGACCACCTGCAGTCTGAGAATGGACAATTACAAAATAGGAATAGTCTACGCATCTTTCATCAAGCAAGAGAACACCCATATCCGCAGTAAATTCGATAAATTGCTAAAAATCGGTAACATTATGGTTCGTGTAATTAAAACAATTCTCACAAACATAACGGTGATGAAAGACAGAAACGATCGTTCTCGGAAGATAATATACTTTCGGTATTTCAAGCCCTTCAGCGATGTTCTAAAGCAGAGTCTGATCTCGAACGCGACTCTATGCGCACAAACTTAATTAACTTGACGCGTGTTGAGGTATCGAGCCTAGGTTCATTTTTCCAGATACCACCGTGAGAGAACTACGAGGCTTAGCCTTTGCCTCTTCTTGTACTAACGTAATAACCACGATCCGGTAGGTTCCAGTGGTTCTCACCTTAGCGAACAAATTTTTCAGTTCCGGAAGTACATCGACCCCAGGACATAGCTCGTCCTCTGATCTGGTCACGAACATTTCAAATTGGTCGTAGAAATACCGCCTGCGGACGAAGAATTTATATCCAACCGGCTGGGAACCTTGGAGATTCTTGTCGAACAAAGTCGAATCACTAGCTCGAAACGCGTGAACGTTATAATGGTGTTAGCAACTTGTTTCCGGATGAACGGACGCCCGATTTGGAGCTGTTCGATTCAAAAGAGTCGGACATTCGATGCTGCACGCACTACTTGTTATTGTGCACAAATAAGTTAGAATATACTTTTTATGTGCTACTTGAAAATAACGCACTGTTTATTTAAATGTGCTCTTCAAGAATTTGTAAAACGACTTACTTGAGAAGACATTGTGTTCTTATTTAATGGAGTTAATTTGCTTCGTTCATATGTATCTATCTAAAATTCGGTGACTATATTAAATTTAAATTAAATTTATTACGTACGTTAAATTTTAATATCTTTAAAATGTACAGTTAGATTTGTTTAATGACATTTAAGGCTTGATGTCTTTTTATCTAATAATTGTTTAATATCTTACAGAAGATATTGCCAGAAACTTATTTAAAATTTAATATTTATATTCAATTTTTCTAAACTTTCACTAAAATTTGTATTGGGTTTTGATAAGAAATTTAAAACGTAAAATTAAATTTATTTAACAAAGCTTAAACAGGTCAATGTTTATTATCAAGCATTTATTTTAAATTTAATATTTATACAAAATTTGTTTTAAAGTTTACTAAAATGTATATTAGGTGTTGATACGAAATTTGAAATGTGAAATTAAAATTTTACATAAAGCTTGAATAGTTTAATGTCTGTTTATCTAAAATCATCTGAAATTATCTGAAATTATCTGAAATTATCTGAAATTATCTGAAATTATCTGAAATTAATTTGAAATTGAAAATCTATATCAAAATCTTAATGTTAAATCTTCATTGCCTGTTATGATTAACTATGTAAAAATCAAATTTTTCAGATATTTTAAATTTAATTTTTCAGAGAAGATTACTTCTTTTCTTCATTTCTTGTACAACTATATGGTCTATCTACGCACATTGCAAAATATGCAAAGACTGCATTTCTACGTAAATAAAAAGCATGCATATACATGAAAAATATGCGTAATTTCTGAATATATTCAGCATAGATTTATAGCGTTTATTAAAACAGATTTATTTCTGAGAATGAACTCTGATAAATGGATATTTAATGCGTCTACTTTAATTAACTGTTTTATAGTGGAATAGCAAATGCAATTTGCCAATATATTTGATGCAAGTTTCTTTTATTATAACTCGGTTGAAATAGCATAATTTGTATACGCTCTTTAAATATTTCTCTGAGATTCGTTATCTGTAACTGTGACCAATACTTGCGTTAGGTTCATGAAAAATTCATTTCTTTTTGAATCGCTGGCTATGTTTCTTGAATTCGCAATCTGAATCAAAATAGAGTGTATCTGTACATTTATCTGAGAGCAAACGGTATTAATAAGCTGTAATAATTACCGTTTCTTTTCGCACCTTCTTAATAAAATATGTATCATGCTGAGCTAACGGTATTATTATACATGTACATTATATTAGTAATACTGATATATGTATTGTTGACTTTGCAATTACTTTGCTCGCTAGCTCTGTCGGTAACATAACCTTAATTTTTGTTCTGTTATTTACTGTTATTTTCTCTTTATTTTCGATATTTCTTTTGGATAAAACTGTGCATTTATTAAAATCTATTGTATTTTTACATTTATGAATAGATACTACTTATTTTGTATCTATCGAAAAATGAACATAGAAAAGAACGAACTGAGTTATATAAAATATTTCTTCAGAAAATATAATTTCATAATTTTGACGAAAATTGGAGGTAATAAACTATAATAAAAATAAATTAAAAGAAATCATGTTAGAATTATAAAAAAATTAGATTGCGTTAAAAGAGATTCAGTTAAATTCGAAAATTTCAAATTCAATTGAATTAAATTAGAAAAAATTACGTTAAATTGAAAGCAATTTACAATTTAGGAAAAATGAAATTACGTTACAAAAAATTACATTGAATTAGGAAGAATTGAATTAATTTAGAAAAAATTAAATTGAATTAAAAGAAATTAAAGTAAATTAAAAAAAAATAGAAAGCAGTTAAATTAAATTGAAAACAATTAGAAGAAAAGGTTTAATGTAGATGTAGAGTGTAAAAATTAATTATTAAACACAACAATGTGAACCAAAAAATTTACTGTCTTTATAGTTTTATTATTTACAAGTTAAAATCAGAGAAACTATTTATATATTTATCTTTTTTCACGATGCATGATTTCATATTACCTTCCTTTTTAGTGAAAATCTCATAATTATTTCTTTTAGAAATTAATAGAAATTAATTTGTTATAATTCAGTTATTATTTTCTGGTTTCTTTCAATTTATTTCGATCCGCAACTTTCAAGCAAAAAATCACTTTTTAAAAAACAGCCTCAGACTGGAAATCCACAATATCTCTATTTATTATAGAAAAAAAAATAGAAAATTCTTTTCTTAATATACGAAAAACAATTATATCAAAATGCGTGAAAGAACAATAAAATTAAATCTTTGCAACTTATAGAGTCTTAGGTGTGCAAGAAAGATGTACGAACATAATGTATAAAATTAAATAAAACAAGAGTAGGAAACTTGATCAAAATTACAAAGGAAGTATTAGACATCTGCCAGTTAAGATTGACAGCTAGTGGAAAAAGTGAAGGTGGTTCCATTTATCACTTCAAAACAGATATAAGATCTTCGATTATCCAGAAATACAACATAGGTAAAATCTCTTTTCTCTGAAACAGGTTTTAATATTGCCGCAGATCCTAAGAAACCCCCGTGTTAAAAAAACTAATATAGCGAAGCGTTTGAAATTCGCGGAACAATATTGAAACTCAGTTATTTATATATAATAAATTATTTCTTGAAAAATTTTTTTTCTAATTTATTTATTTATAGTCGCGTCAACAGTCCATGGGTTAATAGCGACTTAGGAAAAGTTTACAGTTTATTGTACAGTTTAGACTCTTTTAAGGTACTTCAGCAAGTTTTAGGTAGATTTGTCGTCCGTCAGATTGTCGTTTAGAGATGGTTTCAGATTGCTTTAATACAAAAAAAAAATTGAAATATAAGCAACATACAGGGTTCATATTGAAGTATGTACTATGTGAAAAATATACTAACGTAAGTTGTAATTAATAATTTTGGATTTGACCCCTTGCCATATTTTGCCTGACAAATGTGATGACGTGACGCACTCATACTCAAACGTGACGTACTCATACTTTGCCTGTGACAAATCTCACTCAAATTGTTTATACACTTTAATTTTTAGTTAAATTAAAAATTAAAATTATTTAAATTCTGAGTTGTTTAAAAGTTAAATTTGAATTTTAAAATCCATAACATTTCAACTTCCTGTATCTGCTTCAAATATCATAGCTATAATTCCTTTCTTCTGTCTGACCTTCCTAATAAATCTTAAGGCAAGTTAACATTATTTAAGTGATAAAACGTTACGCCAATAGGCCGGAAATGCATACTTTCGTGATTAACTGTACACACCAGAGTATGTGACAGTTGTGTTTCCGGAAAGAAGCAGCTGACCGTCCGTTAGGCAACATTCAACACGATCCAATAGATCGAGTTCTGCTCGACGATCCATGCCATCCCTCGTTCGACAAGTCCGATCGATCGGTCATGCTTAACCGATCGTATAATCGATCGTGAGACACTCGGGAGGAGAACGTATCATCAGGAGCGAAGCTGCTTGCATCCGGAAGTATCGGATCGACATCTCGATCCGAGAAGTAACGAGTTCTTGAAATTGACCATTGATTTACTGGCTGCTTGTATACGATGGCCGTTTGATTGAACACTGTTGCGGGATACCTTCTGAAATCGTTTAAACGAAACAAATGGTTAACGTATCATTACTGTTATTGTGAGGCGATAAATTTTATGTTTCGATTATGGTGAAATGAAAACGAGGATTTCAAATTTTTAAGTAAGGTTGCTGGAACGATTTGTTCGTTTGTACCACACTACTGTAATTTTATAGTCCCTGGTCATCGAATTAGGATCATGTATGAAACTTCATTTAATATAATTCAACATAAATATTATGCAATATAATTCAACATTAATATCCGCTTACGGTAACCATGGAGTCGATCTTTGTTAGTTACATTTTTGGTTGAACGTCATGAGAAATCATTCTTAACACAAAACAGCACTTGTTTCCTAATCGCTAACATCATCGTCGAATGTTTAATGACTACTGTTAAATATAATAGTAGTGCATGTTTTAAACGCACGTTGGATATTTATCATATTTACTGCATATTTCAGAGTTCAATCTCTGATTTTGTAAAATGAAGTAAATGGTGGAGTTTATCTGATTCACAAACTTTTATATCTGAATGTTTAACACTCTGCAATTTTTAACACTCCTATCTGAAATCGGCACTTTCACTACCACTTCAAATTCGTTAAAAATTCTAAGATTTAGTAGTTTCGCTTCCGACATGTGTAATCGAATATTTTTATAATATTCAGCTCTTTATACTGCAAATACTTTCAAATATTTGAAGATAAACATAAATGTTGATATGTGCTCAATATAATTAAACTTCATTTGATATAATTAATCCTAAATATTGATACATGCTAAATACACTTAAACTTTATTTAACATAATTCAACATAAATAATATGCAATATAATTCACCTATAACATATGCTCATCACATATGAGCGCAGTCTGAAACATTGTGGTGCACCATCTCTAAAACCATAATAAAATCATATGACGTAGTACACTTTCAAATTTCATTTATTACATTGCGGAAAGTTTAAAGTCTATCTGTCAATTCATTCTTTGGTTACAAGTTATTCAAAGCTTGTCAGTGTATTTTTAAAAGTGAAAGAACTTAAGCATCATTCTGTGATTGAATTCTTTATACAAAAGAAACAACCAATTGAAATTCATACTGAAACAGTAAATATGCTACGGTAATGTGCTCTTCCAAAACAGTGATTTGTAAGTGGACAGATGTATTCAAACATGACCGTACAAGCATTCAATAGGTCCCCGTAAGCGGCCCAGAAGTGCAACAAAGTTATAAATCATCCAAAGAATTCATGATGTGGTAATGAAAGACGGGTGAATAAAGTTGCATAAAATATTTGAAACCATATACATTTCAAAAGAATAAGTAGGTATTATTTTGCATCGAAAATTAAAAATGAGGAAGCTATGCGCTAGGTAGGTGTCGCATTTACTACAGTCCCCGGCCATCAAATAAGAACCACGAACGAAAATTTCACTTTTATGGCTATAATATTATGTAATTTGTACACTTAAATTTGTATAACTGTAATTTGTACAATTAAATTCAAAATGTATCTGACAAATTTCTTTTTTTATCTTAACAATGCAACACTAATTAGTTAGCGCTAATGAACACAGCTGTCTTAAATTTATAGGCTAAGAAATTAAGCTACAATGTTTTTGTTGACAATAAAATTCGAAAGCTATGTGTCTTGCATGGCGGCATCATAACATGTACTTGCGCCGGAAAATCTTGTATTCGCGACGAACAATTGAAGACATCGAAAAGCTTATTTATCGAATCACACCACGTAGCAGTCGCAAATAAACTTCGACGAACAAATAAAACGAGCCTTCGTCTATCTTTCGGTGGACTTTAAACGCGAATTCTAAATGTTTCCCTACATACTTTAAATATTTATGATCTGCACTTTCCATTTGATTTATTTTCTTTCTACGCTGAGGTAGGTACCTCTGTAAAATAGAGAGAATTTGAGTCGTGAAAGTTGTTTGTTATCACTTTAATCAAAGAGAGAAAAATTGTTTAGATTTTTATATACTCAATATTCTAAAGATATTTTTCAATTATATTGTAAAGAAATAAATCTGTGATATATTGAACAGATGTACAATTCAATACAACGTAGGATAAGACTACGTCCCTTTGGATAAGACTACATAAGCTTGGAAGTTTTAAATTCACAAATTTTAATTTCTAAATTCTCAAATACGCAAATTTTGAAATTCCAAAATTCTTCGATTTCTAAATATTCAAATTCCCAAAATTCGTGTTTAAATATATGTGTTATTTAGCTCCACAAATTCCTAAAATATTTAATCGGTAGGTTCTCAATCACCAAGGTCCCCAAATTCTGAGTTTTTGAAGTAGCTATGTTCCTTAATTAGTAGATTCCTAAATTCCTACGCTATCAAATACCTAAGTCTCATAATTCCTAGATCCCTATATTCCTACGTCACTAAATATCTATATCCTTAAACTCCTAGGTCCCCAAATTCTTAATCTACCAAATCCTATATCCCCAAATTTTTAGACCTTCAAATCCTCATATTCTCAAACCCCAAATTTCCTAATCCGAAACTCCCCAAACACCTATATCCCTTTATTCCTAAGTCCCCAAATTCTGACACCACCAACTCCCTACAGCCCTAAATTCCTAAACCATCGAATTCTCCTATTCCCAAATCCTAAAACTCTCAAGTTCTGATCTTCTGAATACTTGTATCCATCAATTCCTATGCCCTAAATTTTTAATCTACCAACTCCCCTTGTCTCCAAATTTTTGGACCATCATATCCTCATATTTCCAAATTCCAAGTCTCATGATCCTAAGCTCTAAATACCTATTTTCAAATCCCAAATACCTATGTTCCTTAATTTCTAGAACCTCAAATTCTCAATCTAGCAAATTCTATCTATCTACTCTCTATCTACCTATTTCTACATTTCTAGACTATCAAATCTTCATATTCCCCCAAGTCATAAAATCTCCACATTCCTATATTTCCAAATTCTTAATTCATCTCCACATTTCGAAATCCTCAAAAACATCTAAAAATGGACGAGTCTCTTCTACATAAGAAGCTCTTGTATATTGGTTCCATATTTCTCATAGGAAAAATTCGCTCTTAACTCTATTTATCGTAAGTCTCTTTAATTCTGTTAAACATTGATAATATCAAGCTACGCCTTGTTATTTATTTTGTCGAGATTACATATCCATAATCAAACCTTTACACGATTTACGTTTGTTCGACTCTACCATATGTTCTTCCATCCCATCCATACTGTTTGTCCTTACAACTCCACCCCACTGCTGGCTCAACAAATTCCTGCTTGATAAATAATAATTAGAAACGCCCTCTGTCACATACATTACTAGCATGCAAGAGTGCACTCGTCTTACTCCCTGCGAATGGAATATATACAGCACCACATTTAGCTTCTATTTTTAATCAGTGGGAGCAGGAGAATATACAACATTACGTTATTAAAATACAGGTTTAACAAATTTATTGTACTAAATACAGGTGCACATATCATGTACACATAAATAAGAAAAATATGTTAAATTAACGTACTGGTTTGAAACCGTCGGTTATTAAAACATTATAATAAAAGAAGAAAATAAATTTGCACTGCTTTGTATTTCTGTGCCACATACAGTCTGTTCCAGTTGTGTATGCAAAACTTTATCAGCATATTTTATAAATAAAAATAATGATAAAGTGTCATATAAACGGAGGCTCTTTTATTGAAATATTATGAGGAATTATGAGGAATTGATAGTGGATTTTCTTCTTCTATGCAACATGCAAATAATTGTAGATTTTAGTATTCTTTTTAATAACTTTTAATAATGCATTCAAGAGCCTACGTTCATTAAAACAACTTTTCTTATTTTTATTTAGAAATGAAGCTATACATAGTCAAAGTGAAGTTATAGCTAGTAAAGTTGTGTAAACAAAATTGAAACACTCTGTATGTGATATTAAACAAAAAAGTCCATTGTCCTTTCTTATTATTTTTATAATATTTTAGCTAAGTGTTTAAAACCCTATTTTCATGTATCATTTTAGAATTATAATAGAATATAGTAGGATTAATATACTAATAGAACATAATAGGGTCAATAAACTAACATAATAGGATTAACATAATTAGAGTTATAATAGAACATAATAATTACACCTTTACACTCTGTGGTCTCCTTTGAGAGGCCATTTTAGGAGCTGGAATAAAATCACCTAGTGTAAAGAATTCATAAAATTCAATGTCTTACACTTTTAGTGAAAAGTTCCACATCAACATGAAAAAACGATTAAATATTTAAAATTAATCATCCATCTATTTACCAAAGCTTTCACACATCCGAACAATCACAAAAGCATCAAAAACTTTCTTTTGAAAAGCATCGAAATCTTTTCTTGGTATAATTTGAGAACACGTGACATTTGACTCCCTATCATTCGAAACCATAGAACTTTCAGAAAAACGCAGAGATGTTTTGAAAACACAGTTTCACATCTGTTTCAAATAAATCAAATTAATAATAGATTCGGTTCGATTTAAAGAAGACCGGAACACCAAGCTGCAGTCCATCGTTCTTCCTGTTCCCCGACAAGTCGATACGCGAGGAGATTTTACTTCTAATAGCTTCGACAGCGAAGTTAACGAAGCTCCGCGAACATAGGCTCTTCTTTTGCCTTCTTTGACATTGCCTCCCACTTGAACTGCTAAATCGACTACATACTCGCGTTAGCTGCGTGTACCGATTTATAGATTCCTCGAACACACTTAAAATCCTCGGGATATAAAGGCTTGCAAGACCTGTTTTCGCGATTGCTGTGTCCAGAGGAATTCTGTCGTGAGCTACACTCCAGCAATAGACAGCCAGGACAGTCCTTTTGAATCTACAGTTCTACTCGCTTTTCAGAGATTCGCCCATTGTGAGCTGAAAGGTAAGAAGCAATATCATTTTGGGGTATTTTAGAACTTAATGAGAGTAAAATTAGTGTTGAAGTCATTAATCAACTTCTTAAGTAACCTCAAAAGGAGTTATAATTAAAATTAGATAAAAATAAAAATTAGAAAGCGAAGTCAAAAATAAAAATTAGAGAACAAAGTCAAAAGTAAAATTATACAAATTACAGAAGTCAGTTTTGAACAAATAAATGTTTCAAAATGAGTGCTCAGTTTAAAATTTGTTTCTAAACTTGCTGTCAAAGAAAATGATGCTTCCTGTAAATAATTGAAAAATAAGAAATTTTGAATGCAAAGTTTAAATATGAGAGTGAAATTATGTGCACTGATAATAATCTTCAATTTTAATCGTTCTTAACCTTCCATTGCCCACATCTCATTTTGTAACATGGTTAACCGCGGGTTATAAACAACATAACCTGATATTATACATAACGTGTCACGGTTTTATTATATTTTTTAGTCTTGCGGTAATTTATCGTATTACGTGGTATTCATATGTGTAATAGCATGACATCATATGGGTTCTTTGGTTGTAAGCTGGGAAAATAGGAAAGAAGCAGAATTGGGTAATTGATGACTTTTTGTAAGAGTGGGGATAACAAAAGGTTAACCTTGTACACATCGGAATAACATTGTATTAAAATACTAAACGAAACTGAACTATTCTTGATACGTTCTTGAGTGTGATTTGTTATAGATTATACAGAGTGTTCCAAAAATTATGGCATAAACAGCCAGATGATGATTGTACATTTAAAACTAAAAAATAATATTTTCATATTCCACTTCATTTTCGGAAAACTTAAATTTAATAATTCTTCAACATATTTGAAAAACAAATAGTAATTTCTAAGATTTCTTCGTTAATTTAATAATTAATTGATATTATACATTAACAAATGTGAATATTAAAACGTAAAATATAAATATAAATAAACTCTTTTTATTGTAAATTTATATTTATAATAAACATAAATAAGTATTTGCATAAAACATTGAAAAATAAATATTGAAATTTACTATTAATCATATTATTGATATATCAATATATAGTATGATGAATTTAATGGTAAATATAAAAAGGACACATACAAGTAACAATATGACACTGATTATCATATAATAAAAGTAATAACAATTTTATCAATAATTATTACTTATAATTATCAATATTAATAATTAATAATAGCCATTAATTATTGAATTAACCATATTATAATATATTTAATTGTGTATATCATTGTATATTAATAATTATATATGATTTATGTTAATAGTATTATAATATATTATTTATAATACTATTATATTAATACCATTATAATACTATTATAATATGTTATTTATAATACTATTATTATAATATATTATTATTATTATATAATAAATTGTTATATATTTATTCTACAACAATACGAATTTCAAACTTGTATGTGTGTAATACTATACAAAAAGCCAACTGATGTAGTTAACGATATCGATACGATAACATTTAAAAAATACTTGAAAACTTATTTCAACAAATATTTAATCAAATACCAAATAAAACGAAAAATTATTTAATTCGAAATCTAAATAAAATATAATTTAAAGAAAATTCCTTTAATTATGCAAAAATATACTTATTATTACTTCAAACAACATATTACTAAATAAGATATATTATTTTAATTATTTTAATTATTATTGTATATTATTTTAATTATTATTGTTTGCACAGTTTCTTTAAATAATACCTAAATGCAGTCTTGACGTTTATAACATTTCTTTTGTAAACCGTTTATTTAAATACCTAAATGCAGTCTTCTTGATGTTTATAACATTTCTTTCAAAAATTTAAATAATATAGGGCTTCGAAAATTACTAACAAAAAATCCGTAAAATTTATTTTGAAAACTTGAGAAAATTAAATATAATTTTAAATAGCGATTTACATTAGAGGTGCATAACAATTTGTTTCTATTGTATAATAGAAACATTACAGCTGAAATATTTGGCAGAGATAAAGTAATTGCAAAAGAAGCTACTAATAGATTTTCAAACTTGACACTGTATTTTATGTATCATTTGTCCTGCTTTTCGACTGAGGCGAATTATTTAGTAAAAATTGCGACACAAATTGTACAAATGAAATAAACGTAAAAAATGTTACTTGTTGCAAACCGAAGATTTAAAGACATAATTATCACTTTTTTCTAACGTAGGTACAAGATAGCTTTCATAAAACCTCAAAATATAATTCTCTAAACATTCTATAAAACCTACTCTTTTATTTGCAGAATAGCATTAGTCGCATTAAAGTAATCAACAAAGAAAACACTTAGAAATTTTACGTCCTATTCCATTCAATCATTTTTTGGAGTCTACCTTCCTTTGAATCTCACGTTTGCTTGACAGTAACTAGCACCTCGCTTTACCGCCTTGAAATCACACAAACCTTAAAAAATAGTCGAAGATAAATAAACGGAGGTTCACAACTTCGATTTCAAGAAGTGGTAGAACCGGTTATACGATACGAGATGCTAGTCCTCCTGCACATGCAAAACAACCACCGTAATAATTTTGATAATCCTGATGTCTCGAGAAGATCTACAAAACAGAATAAAAAAATAACACTTTTAGAATTCCGAACTTGCCCTGTGTCGTCCATTACTAACTTTCAATTGCCGCTGTCGACAAAAGCTCATAAAACCGATTCATCTTAGAACCTAATTCTAAAACAGATTGATTTACACTATTAAAATTTTTGTTCACCAGTAAAATATACCAATTAGACGTTTTTATAATAATAGTGTACGAAGCAATAATGAAATAAATAAACGCGAAGACAATTTTTTAAATTAAATATAATTATGCATAAATAGAATTAAAAATAAGAAACGATCATTTTAATATTTTACAATTTTTTAAACATTTATCAATGGATGCACATTACTATATTTTTAATGATTTTTTTTTAATTTTTATCCTAATGGCAAAATATAAGGCAGCAGTAATTTTTTATTAATACATGATTTTATGTGATCAGTTAAAAATTAAAATTAAAGAATATTGCTAGATTATATAACATATTAATTAATGCATATTAATGCATGATTTTTCGTAATTTTGGCACATATTCTACGTCGCACGAAAAAAAAAAATCAAACATAACAAAACATATCAATTACAACTTTATTATTATAAATATAAAAAAAAACCTTATTCTATAATAACAAACCTTCATTCTGTAATAAAAAAACTGTATACTATCCCAAAATATAAAATTCTTTCCATAAATCTCAAAAGAAATTTTTTTTCAGTTCTTCCAGAATGCTGTTTCCCCTACTCTTCCTGCCTCTGGTGGCAGCCGTGCCACTCAAATCATTGCAGAACAATTACAACATAGAAATCGACGATGGAGTTCTGAAGAATGTTCAATTCAAAGGCGAAGCAGTTTCTGAGCTAGACCTCTCAGGCCTAGGAATTCGCAAACTGGAAAAGAACGCTTTGGATAACGTCCCAAACCTGAAGTCCCTCAGCTTGGCGAACAACTCTTTAGAATCGCTTCCAGAATTTATGTTCTCGAACCTGACGAACCTGGAATACCTGTCTCTGGCCGAGAATAAACTCAGCAGCTTGGAGTACCTGTTCATTCGTTTGGAGAAGCTTAAAATTCTGAATATATCCTGCAATCCTGTGATGCACCTACGGAGAGGACACTTATTCGGTCTGACGAAGTCCGCAACCATTTTGACGGACGGGAATGCGCTGTGGAGCATCAGCACCGGTGCATTCACGAATTCGTTCTTGAAGGACGATGAGGAGGTGAAGCATTTGGAGAGGATAAAGGCCGAAGCTGATATCGAGCTGCAGAACGACGAGCCTGAGAAAGATTTGAGCTTGGTAACCGAGAACAACGCGCTGAAATTCGACAATTACATATCCACGAAGCAGGGAAAGATCAAGATCGACAAATTGAAGCTCTGCATGCCGGAGAAGATAATCATTTCGATAGAACCACTGGAAGGTAATCGAGCCACAAACAAATGCGTAGAATTGCCGATAAACGAAAAGGATCGATCTCTCAATCTTCGCGGATTGGGAATCAAAGGATTCCTCGAAGGATGGTATCAGTTACAATACTTGCCATTCGTTTCCCTCGATTTGTCCAACAACGAGATCACAGAAATCACTAAGGAGTTGCTGAATGATCTTCCTGAAGGACTGATCTACGTGAACCTTGCGGGCAACAGGATCAAAGGTTTGTGGAGTCAAGTGATCGAAAACAGATACCTGAAGATGCTGAACCTCAGGAATAACCTCATAGACAGAATCGAAGAAGGTGCCTTGCAGAAAACAAACTTAACGGCTCTATTCCTGAACGGCAATCAGCTGGAGAACCTCTCATTCGCTTCCAGCTTGCCACAAAGCTTGACGGAACTCATACTATCAGGCAATCAGATTTCGTCCATCTCCGATGGAGCTTTCTCGCAGCTGCCGCGTCTGGTCTACCTGAATCTGGCGAACAATAGAATCAGTAAGCTCCAGGACGACGTCTTCAAAGGATTAAGTTCCCTTAAGGTACTCATCATCACGAGAAACAACCTGAACGAGATTGGACCTAAGGCATTCTGCGACCTGAAACAGCTCACCACGCTTTATCTCCATCGCAACTCTTTGGCCGAGCTTCAGAAAGGGACGTTCTCCGAGCTGGAGAGCTTGAAGGACCTGAACCTGGCCTGGAACAAGCTGACAAGAATCACGGAAGACACGTTCGCCAATCTGCCGCCAACACTGGACTTCCTACACCTCGATTTCAACGAAATAAGCAGCCTCGAGAAAGCCAGTTTTCTGAACGTTCCCAGATTCACTCTGTCCCTGGCTGGTAACAAGATATCACAAATTTCACGAGCTGCCTTCGATCTACCGAGTCTTCGAGACCTGCATTTGAATAATAATACTTTGACGACTATCGATGGCGACAGCTACGAAGGCTTGCCTCAGCTGAAGCGTCTCTGGCTGAACGAAAATCTGATCAGAGAGATACCAAAAGGTTCCTGCAAGAATCTGGGAAGCTTGAATATTTTAGACATCTCGAGGAATCCCTTCCAGAAGTTGGAGAACGGTGCTCTTTACGGGCTGAGCGCCATTAGAGGAAACTTCTTGTACATTTACAACAATCAACTGAAAGAGTTACAAGGCGGAGTGTTCGAGGATCTTTAATTGATGACGACTTATCTTTCTATGTTAATCTTGATGTTAGAATATTACTTGATATAAAAGGATCTCTTACGGTTGTGCTCTTATCGTTTACTATACGATTATTTTGTGTATTTTTCATATGTCTATATACATATTTTCATACTTTTAACCAGCTTATCGCATACTTGCGTATATATATTATGAAAGATATTTTTGATAACAAGAACCGTTTAGAGAAAATAAAAGTAAATGTTTAGGACTTCGTTTCTTTTAAAACCTTTTATCCTTTCATGTTCCTTCGAAGTTTTTATTTTTTTTATTTCTTCTTTCAAATCCTAACCTAACTTTTCTGTACCGAAATGGTGTGTTATTTATTTTATTAAATATTGTGTGACAATAAGTAAAAATAATACACAAAATGTTTTACTCTTCTCATTACGAATACATTAAATGTTATCAACAAATGTCTTCATCACTGATGTCTTCTCATTTCTCACATTTTTAATTGAAGTAATCATTCATAAAAACAAATATTACATTTTAAAAAACTATTCAAATCAGCTGAATATACATATATCTTCATACGTCAAACTCTTTTTACATAACTTGTTCACACACCTCAAATTATTAAGCTTTGCCCATAATTTTCAACCGAAAATTCGAATTAATAAAAACAAAGAGCTATATTAATTTTTATGTTTCATTTTATATTGTATAATAATCTTTAACTCTAACTATAATAATCTTTAGTAACTTGAGTTTGTTTTCATTTAAGCATGATTGATGAGGTGACTGTTTCATTACCGCATCTTTCTCGCGTGACGACAATAAACGTTTACAAATACCAAACTTGTTTGTCCGTGAAAGAGTTAGGTTAGCAATGGCCACTGCAATTTTCATACGCTGGTTACTCGTTCGCTTTCTCCCGAACGAGTAGCTCTTGTATATGTACTATTGTGTATGTAAGAGAACGTACGTATAACGTAAAGTGCATGGTGCATAAAATAAGCTTGCGGTTTGCGACCGACTGATCTTGACTTTCACGAAAACCTTGAGATTCTGAGGTGCGACCGGATTTTAAGGAGACCGACACACTTTGCTGTCGTTTTTCGTGTTGCGATGAGCGAATATAATTTTATTTTTTTTTTTTTTTATTTACGCAAAATTAAATTAATTTTGTAACGTGGTTATTTATAGTAATATCATTTGAAATGACTGATACGTGTCAATGATCTTTTTACACGTTTTTAAATTTTTACTGTGATTCAGATATTATTCAGTGACAATTATAAAAAATGCAATAGTAAAATTATACTAGTCAAAAACGTACAATGTAACATATAATCACTTTTTCAAGAAAATAATAAGTTAATAAGAAGACTTTCAGAACTCTAAATTTCTAAATATTCGAATTTGCTAATTATCGAGTATTCAAATTTTCAAATTTTCTAAATTTTAGAATTACTGAACGTATATATTTCTAAGTTACCAAGTTTTGAAATCAATATATCACCAAATTTCTATGCTTCCGAATTCTCTAATTGTCAAGTTTCCAAATTCCCAAATTTCTAAACATTCTAAAAACCAAAATTTGTAATTCTTTAAATTCTCCAATTCCTAGATTACTAAACTTCTATATTTTTTAACTTTGTGATCTAAAAATTTTCAAATTCGGAAATTCTGAAATTTTTAAATTTTTTAAAACTTAAAATTTACAGATTCCCAAATTTTCAAACCCTAAATTCTCAAAAGGTCCAAACTTGTAATTCTCTAAATTCCTAAACTTCTATATTTTCAAACTTTATGGTTTCCATATTTTCAAACTTCCAAATTTCTATATTACGAAACGTATATTTGGAAATGTTATAGTTTCAAAATTTACAAATTCTCAAATTATATAAATTTCCAACTTTTCAACTTTTCAAATATCGACATTTCCAAATTCGTAAAATTTCAAATCCTCAAATTTCTAAATTTCCTCAAATCATAAATTTGTAGTAATACAAATTCCAAAATTATTAAATTACCAAATTTCTGCATTCCTAAATTCTGTGGTATCGAAGTTTTTAAATTTTCAATTTCTCAAATTTCTTAAATTCTCAACTTTCCAAACTTCGAGATTTCCAAATTCTGAAATTTCCAAACTACCAAATCATTAGTTTTCCAAATACTTTAACCTCCAAATCCCGAAATTCCCATAGTTACAAATCTCTAAATCCCTAGATTGCCATAGGTGCAAACCTCCAAATCCCTAGATTCTTATATTTGCAAATCTAAATGTGCAAATTCCTCCATTTCCATATTTCCAGATCACTAAGTCAATAGTTTTCCAAATACTTAAACCTCCAAATCTCTACATTCCCATAACTTGCAAATCTCCAAATCCCTAGATTCCTATATTCGTAAATCCTCAAATCTGAAGATTTACAAATTTACACGTCCCAAAATTCTTGACCCATCTCCAAATACTTCAAATCCATAAAAGTCCTAAAACGCGACGAATGACACACTTCTTCCGCCTTTATTGCTATATTTTTGCGAGACAAGCTTTTACTCCTGACTGTACGTAACTTTTAATGAGGACACGGCGCCATAACGCATTTACATAAGTTTTTAAAGATATTGGCCGCGAAGTTATGAAGGCTAGAGAAATTTAATGTTCAATCAGAAGAATTTATTATAATTCGTGATTTACAACTGATTTAACACCATCAGCTTTCGAGTTTTTTAAAATGCATTGAAATTTTAAATTAATGACAGCAATTGTATGGTTAGTAAAAGTTAATTTATGGGTAACATTTCATTGCAGCTTTTATCCGCAATTATAGTAATCAGCGTATTAAAATTCACATAATACCAAGAAACTTCATATTATACAGTATATCATAATCATTAATTTTGTTTCAAATTAAATTAATTTTGACTAAATTAATAATTTAGTATTTTTATAAAATTAGTTTATTATGATTATTATAAACTCCAAATTTGTATTTTTTCTTATCTGTAGGGCATGTTTTATCTAAATTACCCAATAAAATATTTCTGAATGTGATTCTAGATATTTGGTAAGCGAATGAAGCTACCTGCATACTGTGTCTTGTAATTAAATTAAATTTTTAATCGCTCTTTTCTCAAAGACAACTAGTTCTTATCAAATTAAAATGCTGTTAAAAACTTCTTCGTTTTGTCCTGTTACAAACTTGGAGTTTATAATAATCATATTAAAATTTCTACAATCTTTTATTTAGAAATGTCTGGTAATACGCCAAATTAACAAAGTGGTCAATATCTCAAAAACCATGATACTTTGTATAAAGGTATATGTAGCTAAATATGTTCCAAATTCTCTCATCCCTTGCAAACTTTCTATCTACTCAGCACCATATATAACTGCAAAGTTAATATACACACATACAAAAACTTATAAATTCTAATCTTATTGAATATTTTGATACACAATTATATTTTAAATATTTTCATTTAACAATTATTAACAAAGACCTCTTCATACAAGGTTAACTTCCTTCTACCGCAGTTATAACATAACTTCACGTAGTAGGAACTAAAATAAATTCATATCTCTATAAATCATGATGTCGTGTTATAAATAAATTGCACAGTTGTCTTCTATGCTAATAAAAGCAGTCTTTTGTATTAAGGTGAAGTGGGGTAAGTGGAAACTGGTTTTTGTAAAGTTGCTATTTAAACGTAAGTATTTTCAGTCTGCTATGTAAATACTTAACGCTGTCGATATCGAACGCTTTGCACAATTACTACTATTTAATTAATATTAACTAGGACCTTAATTTTCCTTGTACATTTTGATTTTGATAGAAAATTGTTAAAATTGATTTTGATTTTGATAGAAAATTGTTTAAAATGTCAACTACCCTGCACTTTCCCCGAAAATGGGGTAAGAGCATAACTTGAAGTTAAATACTTTGAAACTTTATTTCATGTGCAATGGGGCAAGAGCGAAATTATTAGCAAATCTGCTATGAAATGCTTTTGCTGCATTATGCAAGTACTCTATACTGCAAACAAGTATTCTTAGCTGAAATATAAAAGGAGATATAGTGAAACAAAACAAGGAAACATACTAAATGGAGAAATTTCGCTCATATTGTAATAAAAATAGCCTGTATACGCACTTGCCCCATTTACGAAGTTACCCCATTTCATCTTGTTTATGTTTTAATACATCGCTCACAAATTTGTCATACAAACTTTCCAATATATCAAATATAATCTGTTAAATTAATTGAAGTCGCATTTCATCGCATAATTTTAAGAATCTCTTCAGTACAATAATGTGGCCACCCACTGTGATGAATGCGGAATGCATCCGTTACTGCAGTATCTTTCAATGAATTTTTCCCTATACAGCAAATTATAATAGCGATCCAACTTCCTTGCTCCCGGTTCCCAGATCCTATAACTTTCTTTCGTTTTCAAGATGAAAAATCATTTCAAAACTCATCATTTTCACACAACGGAAAGCATTCAAAAAGTCATGCGATCAGTCAAGTGAAAGGGTAAAAACTTTCGATATTCTTTTGAAGAGAAGTGAAACGTCTATTAATCTGAAAGGAAACTACTTCGAAGTCAATCAAGTTAATCCTTAGAAATCGAAGATAATCTTCGCTTCAATATTTGCTACAGAGAACGTTCGATACTTTCATATGAGACCTTAGGCAAAGAGTAGATACAACACTGATAAAAATTATTTGTATAGAGAAGGCAGTTTAAATACTTATGCAGGAACAAGGTGGGAAGTAAATGTCACATGGTCTGGCAAAGAAGAATGATTTATACCTACTTTTTAATCTCGGGATGTCATAAACCGAAAACTTTCTTTAATTTCCCCACCTACCTGATACAAGTGTTAGGTTAGGTTATACGATATTATGTCCCTTCTTTGTAACACATTTATCTGTAATTTATTTATAACTTATATATAGGAAATACTTTGTTATTTGTTTGTAATTTGTTATAAATATAAGTAAATATTTTGCCCTTCCCTGTAACACGTTCACCAGTCATTTATTTGTAATAAACTTGTCATTTCCCTGTAGCACTCATCTCTATCTTTTTGTAAAAGTTTCACATTTCTTGATAAGTTATTTGTAATAATTATTTCTGTAGTATATATTCTTTGAATGTATTTTGTAAAGTAATCATTTTATATGCCTTTCTTACTCAACTTTTTATGTTGTAAAACTGATGTAAATACTACGAAAACCAATATTAGTAACATATAGAAAATTTACGACAGATTTCTAATTATTAGATGCCGAAATTAAATTCACTTGATTTAAATTTCCCGCTCGTCTGTACAACCAATTTGAAACGACAGGCTTTGTCGAACATCAAAGGCACCGCCTCTTGTGTCTCTGCCTCGGGTAACATCGGCTGTAAAAACCGAAGACACGACGTTTAGAGTTTATTCCCTCGTCTGTCATTTCAGTAGCCATAAAGGTATATTTTACGGAGCGTTTGCGAGGGCGTCATTCCCATTGCTATTTTTCGAGCGTTGAAAATCAGGCGCATTCTCACATACCTGCGGCTTCTCGTTCTCTGGCGAAAGTCTCGAGCAATTTCGTGGCATTGACACTGTATACCCGGGCTCCTCACTTCCGGTTTAACCAACGGTACCTAGTAGGGTTATCGAACGTATGTCTCTTCCAGGACTATCGTCTGACGTCCCTGCGAACACACACTGACGTAAATCACGAAACGCAACCCGACAGACTGGAATTTTTAGTCGCTTAGCAAATGCTGCAATTCGTCGTGCAAACATGACTTACGCATATAACAGATGAATTGCTTACTTGCGGATGACTGCATTCGTCTTATAAAATCTACCAGAGATCTTAGCAACTCTTTCTGCTTCACTGATTTGTTTACATTTTTTTTATACTTACTCATAGATTTTTTTTGTTAATATTTTAATTGTACCATGTTAATTAATTATTTTTTCTTCTTTAATGTCATATAATAAGAATTTATATTCTTATTAATATTTAATCTTCTGTTTATCTTTTATTCTATGGTTTTACAATATTTTAATTTAGGATTGCTTCTCGTTGAATGAAATAATACACCTCTCCTCCGATTTACAGATACATTCTTCAAAAATCGTGTAAATTGAAATTATTACCAATTAAGTCAAATTGAATTGGGTTTGCTCTCATTTTAGTTAGAAAAATGTTAAAGATCTATTGTAGTTAAAAGTTTCAAAGTTTCAAAAAAAAAGAAGAAACATATAAAACTAATCTTGCACTAGTATTGCCAAAATGTTCACTTTTACCAGTTCTTTTTTAAATCCGTTACTTTAAAAGCTGCGTAAAAGCGAAATCGTGTAAATGAAATACTGTGTACATTGAAGGATGAGTATTTAACGTATATGAAAAATATTACTTGTGTAATTGTTATGCAGGTCTTCACATAAATTATTGTTGATACTGATTACAACTGAGAAAAAAGTAACTGCTATTTAAAATATGAATTTTGTATCTGTTTATTCTAATTCATGAAAACTAAATTTAAAAAATTTGATGACATAACTACGTGTTATTGTTTTGCATCGAATGCATATATTGCAATACTATTTAATTTCATTTGTAATAAATGATAAAAGAGTCATTTTGGGAGTGGTCTAATAGTAAGTCCATTTGTCAATTATTTGTTCTTAACTATAGTAATATGTATTCTATATATTTTTAATTTCACTAAAACGCAAATTCTTAAATATTTCAATTTAAAGATATACATATAAATGTACCTACACCACTTTCAAAATAAATCTAATATAATAACGTAAAATAACATAACATTGAAAATTAGCTTAGTAGTTCTTATAAGACTTCGAAATAGTTTAAACTAAAATAATGAAAAGCAATAAATATTAAATAAAACACCTATTTAATAGTACATGTGATATTATAATTTCATAAATATTCATACCATATTTTTTACGATTTTCTTCTCAAACCTTAATTGCATTAAATCGATTTTATATTTTTCACTTAAGTACAGTTCTTCGAGTTAATTAAAAGGGTTCAGTATGAAAGTGGGGTATGAAAAAGAATGTGGGACACTGAACTCGACCAGGAGAGTACAAAAAAGGGGTGTCATCGTATCTTGAATGAACGTTTACCGGAGAAAATGTACCTCCAGTGGAGAAAGGTCCAAAAGTCAGGTTCGTTGGCCTTCCTCGTCTTTCAGGCGTGCATGTCTGGAGTCCATGAAAAAGCACGTCTCTTGAATACATCAGTCTGTCTCCGTGGTAACCCTAAATTCAATTTATTGCGAGCTCGTGAATGAAGAAAACATGGTACGATAGAAGTCAAGGATGCCGAGTGCATTTTGATTCGCGGCCAAAAAACGTTTCCACTAGTGATAAATTTCCTGGAACATCTAAACCACGAAACACAAAAAAGTTTCGAGTTTCGAGAATTGGGAACTTTTGCACATTTTTCGCTATTCGAAATTTTTGGAACCTAGATAAGAAAACGTAGAAAATCAACGAAAAATCGTTCGCAGCGTGCCAGGAGAATATTTGATTCTTATACCGTATATCCAGAATATTCGGGGCGTCATGCTTTGTGAATGCTCGGTGATTAGTTTTGTTTTCGAGGATATAAGCACATCGACACTCAATCGTAATCGGAGAACTCCAGAGCGCGTGCGATGTATGCGAGCTTGAAAAATTTTGTCGATATCGGTTCTTAAAACAAGATCTCCTGCGAAACAAAATCACCGCAAATTTCGAGAGTTTCGAGTCGTGAGAGTTTCGAAATTTTATAACTCTTCGTATTCGAGTTTCGAGAAATTGAAAATTCGGTTCGAACCCATCACTACTTGTTATTAAAGTGTCTAATGTATAGCGAGACGGCTTATCGCGACACCGTAGAACTTCTTCACAGGTTGTTCGAACACTCACAAGATTCCACGATAATAGCATTGCTGTTAAAAGTATGAGGGATTCATTCGCACAGAGCCCTAAGAGAAACTGTAAAGCGACTTTTACTAGAACCTAAAACTGCGAAAAATGATGAATTCTATCATTTTCGTAGAAAGATTCGAAGAGTACCCTGAAAATTATTACAACTGCGTCGACGTTACTTTGCGAGGAACGAGAAATATACCGAATATAGGCTATGTTCTGTAATAACGATATAAATGGTATAAATTTATCTAAACTTCAATAACGCGATCGAAAACAGTACACAGTAATGATTATCATAAAGTCGCAATTATAAACTTGTAAAGATTTAAAAGCTGTGAGAAATAGTTATAAAAAGATATACCTACATAGTTCTTTTTGGTGATGTATATTTTTCATATTTCGAGAGTTTCGAAATTTTATAAAGCTTCGGATTCAGGTTTTGAGAAATTAAAATTTCAGTTCGAACCCATCGCTAGTTTCCACTGTCGGAACTTTTGAACTGTATCGACTACTGGTACTTGAACGTGACGAGAAAGCAGACATTTCCTCTTGTATTTTGCACAGTCGCAAACGTTGGTAATTACTTTTTGATTCTGGATATTTGAAATTTCTATTTCTAAACTTCTAAATGTAGAAGTATGTTTTTAAATATATTTCTATATTTCCATAATCTTGCATTTAATTCATTTTCAATCTTTTGCGAATATAAAAATATAATATCTTGGCTTTTTAAATTGAAAATTTGGGAACGTGAAAATTAACAAATATTTTAAATTAATTAATTTGAAAATTTAAAAAATTTCATTTTTCTGTTTAAAGAAAAGTTTGTGTAATAACAATCTATAGTGAAAGTTCTTTTGATTGATTTATGAGAACATTCTATTCCACAGTGGCTGCGTTATCGTAAATATGTAAAGACGCAAATATGTAAAGATGCCTGGTTAGAATTATTATTAACAATTTTTTTCGAAGTTGAACTTACACTGCCTTTAAGGAGATCGGCGATTTTGTCCATTTTCTAACTATCCAACTTTGTTAATTTGTGAATTTGTAAATTTATTGAATTGTAAATTTGTAAATTTCTAAATGTACAGATTTGTGGATTTGTGGATTTGTGATTTTGTGGATTTATGAATTTGAGAGTTTGAGGATTTGATAATTTGGGGATTTGAGAAGTTGGAAATTTGAGAATTTGAGGATTTGAGAATTTGAGAGTTCGTGAATTTGTGAATTTGTGAATTTGTGAATTCGAGAATTTGAGAATTTAAGAATTTGGGAATTTGGGAATTTGAGAATTTGAAAATTTGAGAATTTGAAAATTTAAGAATTTGGGAATTTGAGAATTTGGGAATTTGGGAATTTGGGAATTTGAGAATTTGGGGATTTGAGAATTTGGGAATTTGAGAACTTGGGAATTTGAGAATTTGGGGATTTGAAAACTTGGGAATATGAGAATTTGAGAAGAAATTTTAGAATTAGAAAATTTTAAAATGTGGGAAGTTGGAAATTTGGAAACTTGGAGATTTGGAAATTTGAAATTTAGGTATTTGAGAATTTGGGAAATTGATAACCTGAAAATTTGTAAATTTGTAAATTGAAAATTTGGTGATTTGTTGTTTTGTAAATTTATTATTTCTGAATTTCAAAATTATAAAATTTCTTCATTTCTATATTTTTCATTTCTAAATCTCTAAATATAAATTCAAAAACTCCACACTCCATTTTCTCAATTTCTGAATTATCTTATTCCGAACATCTACACACATATATCTTTTACATTTTTTCTTTTATTAATCATCCATATACAAAAATGTGAAGGTGTAAGGTCTAGTGGCATGGGAGGCCAAGGAACTGGTCTCCCTCAATCAATCTATCATTGGAGATAGTATTCGTTAAGCCAATTTTTTACCTGTCATACGTAAACCGTTAGCAAAATGCATATCTGAGCATTCTTCGTACTGAAAATATTTTTGGCATTTTAAACGTCCTGTACTGTTACTTTACAAGAGAGAACGTAGGTGAAATTAACATAGTATCTGCAGTTATACTGACACGCAATAAAAAGTAAACATACCTTCGATCAACGAGTGGCATAAATATCACGTACTTTATATGAACTAAGAGAAAGCGTATGACTTTTCTATAAATTAACCATTTGCACTCGAAGATAATTTTATTGTTTGCAAACAACAACTTTAAAATATTAATTAAGATGTTAAATGAGTTCTTTCGAGGTTATTATTTCTCTACTAATAATTTCTACTATTGCCAATTTTGCTATGTTTATACATCACATCAGCACTATTATAGAATTAATTAAATAAGGTGAAGTGGGGTAAGTTCTTAAACGGGGCAAGTGCGTATACACACTATTTTTATTACAATATGAGCGAAATTTCTCCATTTGGTATGTTTGTTTCCTTGTTTTGTTTCACTATATCCGCTTTTATATTTCAGCTAAGAGTACTTGTTTGCAGTATAGAGTACTTGCATAATGCAGCAAAAAGCATTTCATAGCAGATTTGTTAATAATTCTGCTCTTGCCCCATTGCACATGAAATAAAGTTTCAAAGTATTTAACTTCAAGTTACGCTCTTACCCCATTTTCGGGGAAAGTGCAGGGTAGTTGACATTTTAAACAATTTCCTATCAAAATCAAAATGTACAAGGAAAATTAAGGTCCTAATTACTATTAATTAAATAGTAGTAATTGTGCAAAGCGTTCGATATCGACAGTGTTAAGTATTTACATGGCAAAGTGAAAATACTTACGTGTAAATACCAACTTTACAAAAACCAGTCTGCACTTACCCCACTTCACCTTATATGTAAGTGGTAGATTTCCACTT